AGGCAGAAGATGATTCTATTTCCTCCACAAAGTTTTGAATTTACACTAAAGGTGCACACTTTTTTAAACAATGCAAATTTAAGTTTTTTTAAGAGAGATGAGGATGAAATTGGTTAAAGTGCTGCTTCACAAAATCTCTTTTAGGCTTTTGGACTTCTAAGTTTAATTTTTAGCTGAGTCAGGAAATGTTCATTGTTTTCATTTCTTCTCTTTGGCCCTGACATTTTAGAGTCTGTCCCACAGCAGGGTGCTGTACTCACAACATGAGGCTGTGTGGAAACTGCACAAACAAAAACAATCACTGTAAACAACCGACTGACCTTTTGGCACCCCTCTGGGTTTTTTTCCTTGCCATCCAGGCAGCTGCAGCGCTTAAAGACGTGTACAAGAGATATCCAGTCCTGTACAATAGCAGCATCGTGTGCTCCTTCGAGCCCAAAGTCATCTACAGGGTAAGGGAGAGCTTCTCAGGGTTCTGCATAACCTGCTCTTATTCTTTTAAAGCTTTTTTTAATTTTAGATAACAATGCTAATTCTCTTAAGGCTTTGACATTACTACTTTACTGTGTTTATATTTAACTATACGCAGCTTAATAGGGAGATGTACGTTTTCATAAATAATTGCTGTCATCCAGGAAAGAAAAAAATGCAAACATCTGAATATGCATAATTACCTTTTAGTTAAAAAAAAATTTCATTAAAACAGTATGGTTTACCTTTTAACCACTAGGGGCGCTAGACATGTAGCCTTCAGGTTAAGTGGCCCTGAAAGAAACCAGCTGTGTTTTGTAATCTTATAGCAGACTTGGAGCAGCAGCATGAGAAGTTATGGAGATCTTAGTAAAGAAAATGACACATTCAGTCTTCTAGAATAAACCCTATAACAAAGAACCTAAAATATGCCTTTCACATTATATTACAGACAATTTTGTAGAAATCAGCTGATTATTTTGACATCTGTCAAACTTAAGGATAATTTTTTAAAGCCAATGCACTCTCTCTTTCTCTTCTTCTATTTATATGATAAAATGACACAAATACTATAAATGTTACACGGGTCTCAATTTAAAATTAAAATAAAAAATTAAATATCACAGAAAACTTCTATAGTGTGTAGCAGATGGAGGGAGCGGCAATATATGCACTTTACTTGACCTTAATGCATGGCTTCTGAGTGGCTGATGAATCGGCTCACATGTATGTATTGACTGATGGCGATAGAAGACAAAAATGCTAATATTTCCAAAAATACACTAGATTTCCAAAAGTATTCACTCACCTGCTACGACTCTCATCTGAGCTTCAGTGACGTTCCATTCCTAATCCATAGGAGAGTTTACATGGACACTATATAAAAGGATTCAATCATGATTTGTGTGTAAATGTACCAAGTATATGATCAGATTAAATAACCTGAGAATGCACAGAACTGTCTAGTTTA